CCCGCCCCGCCCTACATAGCCTTAAACTCACCCCGCCCCGCATCTGTCCCGCACCATCGCCATCCCTATTTTTGAGTATGAAAAAACTTGAGTTTCTTCGGTGGAAGAACTCAAAGTACATGTGGTGGCTATACGCCTTTTGAGTATGAAAAAGTTGAACTATTTCTCCTGAACATAGCAACTTGCAAATATATAGTACAAGATGATGTAATATCCTACCTTCCCCAAATTTCAATAAAATTTCACCGAATATGTTGAAAAGCTAGCTATTGGTATTCAAGAATGTTTCTGGATACAATAAAAGAAGAGTGGTAAAGAAACTTGATCTGTTGTTACCATTATTAGCAAGAGATTGAGGCGGATTTAGAGTGGATCCAAGAGTTAGGTTGTACACTCATTACTTCTAGGAGATCACATGTACGTTACCTTTAAATTTTGAATACGTCTTTGATCAGTAACTGGAATCTTCCTCAACTCATCCTTCTCTAGTCCTTTCGACAAACGCGAGGCCTCAGCTTTCGCGGACTCAAACAGAAATCTCACATTGTATCGTAAGATACAACGCGAGATTTCCCTGAGAGTTAGGACGCATATCAGAATAAGTAGCACGGCTGCAACAACTATTAGTAAACATGAGCTATTTGAAATAATCGAGTCATCACGGTCATTATACGACTGAATAGTCGATGGAGCCCGAAAACCTTTCATCAATATCGTAGAGAAAGAGAATTACAAAGTGAAGAATCGAATCTTTTATTGCTAGCTCACATTACATTTATGATTTATTGTACACTATTTTGGTTCATAGCTCTACTTGTAGATCATCTTTCTTCCATCCAAAAGTTACTCCCGATTTATTTTACTTGTCCACTGTATTATAAATATTTAAAAAAAAGTTTATGGTCTGAAATATATCATAAACATTTTCTTGGATATAAAATCATATAATTAACCATGATATAAAATGTTTATAACTAAATTATTAAAAAATGTCATTGATTTTTAAACAAATGAAAAATGTGTTTGTACAAAATGAAACGGAGGAGCAACTCTTCTTTTTTGTACAAAAGATAATTTGGCTCATCGATTCTTAATAGGCGATTTGATTTGTATTATATTGTTTTGAACAGTTTTCACTATATGAACAAACGTTTAAAGTTGAGTTCGCCACAAAATTCACGTTTTTTAATCATAGTACCAAAATGAGACTCATTTTTTTAATTATCATTTTGCCTTGATATTAAAATTTCATATTATATTGTTCACATTCTAATTAGTAAGTTAAGTGTGCGGGGAACGGAATGTCAGTTCTGTTTATATAATTTTTAATAATTCTCACCTCGTGAGTTAGTTTAACGGACCTTGACCAAGCATAATTTTGGATACGAGTCCTCAACATTGAAGGAAGTGCATGAAAAATGTAGTACTACTACTAAAGACAGCAAAGTTTGTTTCTTTTCAAAAAGAACTGAAAAAGGAAAAGATAGCACATGCTACTTGCTTTATTGTTGAAATGTAAATGGATATAAGGCCCTCTTAATCCAACAATATATATCTAACTGTTCTTGTTGGTTTGTTACAACCAATTAAAGTACACTTCAACGACATACCACAAGTGGGGTTTGGGGAGGGAGGGTAAAGTGTACGCAACACTTGAGGTATATAATTCAAATTCATTACAACAACATTTTCAATGCCACAATATTAATACCTACCTAGCTATGGCTTAATACTACAATTTAGCTGCTACAACATCAAAGATCATTAAGAAGGAGGGCCATGAATGTTCTTCCAGTTAATACAGACAAGTAATAGTGATTCAATGAAGAGAACAATGTTCAGTATAATTTATGTAGACTGCTTCTTCTTGAACCTCAAAACTGTCACATGCCTCGTGGTGTACATAATACTTACCAACACCTGGTGTTTATATCAAACCAACAAATGCAAAACCTATATGTCGTTTATAAATGCATTGTCACTGTAGTTTTCAAGTGACAAGTCAATTTGTCTGGTCTAATACTGAGTACGGGTAAGTTTTTACTATACCTCAATATCCAGACAATGAGAAAAGAAAACAATTAACCCTAAGGAATGACAGTAATCTACCATTTACCAAGATAGCTGGTGGCAATCATTCAAACATCAAAGAAGAATGAATTAGTCCAACTAGATTTGCACTTGGATCCTTAAAGCAAGGGTAGACAGATGTGTAGGCTCTCTCTTCCAATATCCAACTTCCTAGAAATGCTTTTGATACTATCTTAGCTTGATCAATTTCAAATACTCACTTTTCTCAAACACCAGCTTTCGCTGTCCACCAAGGCAAAAATAATTAGGTAGGATGTTTTAGGTCAATTGTGATCAAGCCCAGAGCTTACTCTTCTATTATAAAATTTTCATTTGTGATAGTGAAAGACAGCCAACAGTTTAGTCTGATCATATAACCTATCAGTATATTCTTCCAAGGGATGCATTCACCATGAACAATATGTTTGTCCTTTAGGCTTTAAGCATAATTCTACAAATATAGTTTTTACTGCAACAAGGGAGAGCCCACAACTCTCAAACTAGAAAGCTTTCTGTGGCTTGAGAACTCTAACCTCTGAATAAACGTGTATAGTTGGGAAGGAAGAGCATACAAACTTAATATTTAACCAATGAAGGTAAGTCGAGGCTTGTTACAAATACCATCCAATATAAATGGTACCTGAATATATTGACTGATGCAAACAGATAGCGTAAAAGGAAAATGGTCGATCCAACAACTGATTTGAGGGATTGGCAAACCAAATGTCTGGGATTGACCAATGTATGTTTGAAAATAAGTATAGATGGAGTTAAATACACATTAAAGAACCCCTGCTTGTAACATACAATGTCTAAATTTGAACTTGCTAATGTAGAAGAGGTATTGGACTAATAAAGGAGGCTAGCCTGCCCAAACAACACATTTTTGCTAACACAATCAATAAATAGGCCACAGCCCACAAGCAAAATCGAACTAGTCTAGATGAATCAATGAGCAACATTTGAGTGTCATTATCTTTACACTAACCAACTTTCTAAAAGGGATTTTTATAAGAACTTCAATTAGGGACCCTTCAATACAGAATCAACCTAATGTATATGACTAAACCATCAAGCACAAACAATTGTTACACAGAGATAGCATATGTAAAAATCAGTACAACCAAAAATTAAAAAGATGAATCAAATCTACGAAACTTCCCGAAGGACAACATCAGAATTCATGCATAATTAGCATGTATTATCCCACATAGTTGTAGTCACTTTTCAATTAGTACTTTACAGAACTATGTCAAAAGCAAACACCCAAGAAAGAAAATCAACTAAAGAGAGCATTTTGCAAAAACCAAACTGCCTTCTTTACTTTTATAAGCACAGCAATCCCTCTACTACTAAAATTTTCACCTCCATTTTCAGCTAATACTTTCTGACTAATCTAACGAAAACAATGTTAACGATTGCATTTAAAGTATAGGGTAGTAACAAGAAGGGCACCTGATCAAACCATTCTCATTACAAACCGTGCAAGTCCTGAATCCACTTTTCTCGCTATAACACTTTTGGCTACCACTGCACTCTTCACAGAGAACAAATCTATTACCTCCACACACTTCGCACGTGCTGAATTCCGCCGGAGTCAGCCCTTCAACGTATTTCTTCAGCTCACCGGCTTCATGAAGCTGAATAATCTCCGCCGCGCCACCAACGTAACTCCCGCCGATGAAAACTCTGGGCAAGGACAATTTCGTCTTTACACGGGTACCCAATATCGTCTTTAGCTCTTCCATGAACCCCGCATCCATAGACACATCTCGTTCATCAACCGAAACACGAAAGCTAGACAGAATCGATCGAACGGCTTTGCAATCATCGAATGTAGAACGAATTACTCTAAGGCTGGTGAAGTAAATCACTATTTTCTTCTCAGCTGCTGGGATTTGAATCGATTTCGGAGTTGTTGATTCGGGTGCGGGTGCGGGTCGGGTTGAGAAAGCACGGAGGACCGCGTTAACGCGGAGGACACGATGGAATATATTGGGTTTTTTGGTGGTGGTGGTGGAAACGGGTGAATTGTAATCAGAATCGTCGGAGAAAAGGGTGTTGATATCTTTGAAAGAAGAACAAGAGAAATTGGGAGAATTGTTGTTGTGAATCCAAATCTTTGATTTGGTTCGACTAAGCAACATGATTTCCAGAAATCGAAACAACAACGAAGCTATGATCAGCGCGACGCAATGGGGGTGTTGTTGGCTGTCCCTTCCGATTTTCCGACTTCTACGAATGCGTTATTATTAAAACAATCGTAGTTCGACCCGGTCCGCATCCATCAAATGCTTCCCTTTTACTGTAATTTTGATTAGGCTTAATATATATTTTGCCTTTCTAAGTTGTAAAAAAAATATTCATTTGATAAATACTTTTAACTACCAAATCCTTACTTGATAGAACATGGGGCCAAAAATTGTACAAGACTCCAAACTGGTGGCGCATATAACGAAAGTATATTTAATAGAAAAAATTGAACTAATTGTGAGCGTTTATGTATGTGGGCACGTACTTAACAAAAGGATACTCCTTATTTCAATATGTTTATCCTACTAAAATATTCGATATAACATGTGTAAAGTAAGAAATAAAGAGTTGTAAACAATTATTTTTGAAAGGGAGGTGGTAAATTTTAAACCTATAATATATTTTTTTTATCTCAATGCTTGATTAAGTGACACGTGTTAGATTTTGAAAAAAAATATTGATCCTCTTCCTCAGGCTCCGGCCGGCCTTCCCTTTGGTCTTGTCTCACAGAAAAATTGGGAGAAATCTAACGAAATAATAGAAGTTGGCTGGCCAGATACCCACACATTTCTCCTCTTTATCTATTTCGATTATTGTTCATATCATCTCTTTTTTTCGTATTTATTCGATTCAATGGTGTTTGATGATTTATCTCTGTGAGGCGGAGGGAAAAAAAAGAAGGAATTAGAGGTGTTTGGTTATGGCAAACAATGGTGATCAGCAGAGCAAGCTACTGGAAAGGCGAGAAGACGTTGGTAATGTGCCTTTTCTTTCTTTCTTTTTCTCAAGTTAATGGTGCATGTCACAACATCATCGATGCGTGAAATATATACATGTTGATTATCTAAAGTGGTCAAACACTGACGAGGTTACAGTAATGTCCGAGCAATTTACGTGAACCTCGACTAGTTATCTGCTACAACCATCAGCACATGCACTACATAATTTTGCCTACTAAAATTCAGGCAGAAGTGAAAAAAATCACCTAACTCATTTGCGACAATGAAAGACAGCCAGCAGTTTTTACCTATCCCAAGTTTGAATGTACATGTCAGTATTTTCATTCAAAAGATGCTTTCACCGTAAACAAATGTTTCTCCTTTAAGCATAATTCTACAGATATAGTTGTTACTGCAACAAGGGAGAGCCCACAACTCTCAGGTTAGAAAGCTTTCTCTACCTCTCACTAAACGTCTATAGTTGGGAAGGAATATCACCCAATCTTAATATCAAAATGTTGCCAAAAAGCCTGTTACCTTTCTTCAACACAGATAGATACTCGATAACTCTATCTACCAAGACTTGGGACTATAGAAGAAAAACAACTTTAACTTAATCCATTTGTCTAAGCTTTGATGGCAGAGTTTGTACATAGGCTAGTGAGAGAGAGAGAGAGAACAAATACCTAACAGAATAAACGGTCATATGCAAACTCTGCCGAGCACCATCGTTGGTAAAACAAAATAGAAATAGATAATTTTGGAAGGGTCTAGGTATAACAAGGAGGTTGGCCCCTGCCTCAAAGTTGCTAAACACATTCAATAGATTATGTCTCAAGCAAAACCAGTATTCTGAAACCACAATTCAAGCTATGTAATGATTTGAAACAACGTCTCTATCTCTGTCTCCACGAGGTAGGGTTTGTGTACACCCTACCCTCCCCAGACCCCACCTAACGGGGTTTGTTGTTGTCGAATTAGAGCCAACCCAAAAATGAGGCAATGTGCAAGATTTGATTGTCATTACTCATTATCTTTATGCAAAATTGCTAACCAACTTTCAGAAAGACATTTTAATAGAACTTAACTTCATCACATATATACAGATAATGCATACGACCAAGACATTAGAACTCTAACATTCTGTTAAACAGAGAGTGTTACCCCTAATCAATAACAATTTACCCAGGCACAGCATATTTGTAATCAAGCAAGCTATGAAAAAAATACATAGAAAAATCAACTAAAGATAACATTTTGCATCTAATCAAACTGCTTTCTTAGCATATAAACACACCCAATGCACCAATTCCCTCTACCTCCACCAAAAAAGGGGAAAAAAGAAGAAGAGAAAGAGAGATTAATCATACAAAAAGCTGCTAATGGAAGATTAAAAAGAAGAAGAAAATGAAGTGTATAAAGTTTTCATCTTCATTTTCAGCTTATACTTTCTGACTAGCCTAAAATATAGTTATAGAGCTTGCTAATCTAATCATAGTGTAATTGGGGCATAGTAACAAGATGGGCACCTGATCAAACCATTCTCATTACAAGACGTACAAGTTCTGAATCCACCTTTCTCGCTATAATACTTGTGGCTACCATTGCACTCGTCACAGAGGATAAATCTATGGCCGCCGCACACTTCACACGTGCTTAAATCCGCCGGAATCAGCCCTTCAACGTACTTCTTCAGCTCACCTGCTTCATGTAGCTGCCGAATCTCTTCTGCACCACCAATGTACCTCCCGCCGATGAAAACTCTCGGCAAGGACGGTTTCGTCTTTTCACGGATACCCAATATCGTCTTTAGCTCTTCCATAAACCCAGAATCCATGGACACATCTCGTTCGTCGATCGAAACCCGGAAGCTACGCAGAATCGTTCGAACAGCTTTGCAATCGTCAAATGTAGAACGAATTACTCTCAGACTTGTGAAGTAGATCACTATCTTTTTCTCAGCTCCTGGGATTTGAATCAACGGCTCCGATTTACGGGTCTCCTTGAGATTTGATTCGGGTTGAGGGAGGAGGGTTTTGAGGGGCAAATCGGGTCCGGGTCGGACTGATAGAGCACGAAGAACAGCGCTAACACGGCGTACACGATGGAAGATATTGGGTTTTTTGTTGGGGGTGGGTGAATTGCAATTTGAATCGTCAGAGAAAAGGGTTTGAATATCTTTGAAAGAAGGACAGGAGAATTTGGGGGAATTGGTGTTGTGATTCCAAATCTTTGATTTGGTTCGAGTTACCAACATGGTTTTCAGAGATCGAAGAACTGAATCAACAAGAAGAAGAAGAAGAAGAACTTTGTTGAAACTTGGTAGGATTTGGTTATTGAGGTTTCTTGGTTGAAATCAATGGCGGAAAATGGAAGAAAATATATTGTAGAAGAAGATGGGAGTGGGGACAGTGAGAAGGAGAAGGGTTTGGCGTCAGTGTTAAGGGATTATAGAGAAGAAATTGCGAACGTGGTGAAGGTGTCAGGGTGGGTGGGGGTGACAGTGGCCAACAGAGAAGGGGAAAATTACTCTGATTTTAATATACATTTTCATTTTTCCTTGTTATATTTAATACTAATTATTTACAAAATCTAAAAATATAGTATAGTATTAATTAATATAAATATTTAAATCAGTTACTAATATTATTATTATTATTATTAAAAGAAAAAACATACCAGGTTAATATGAAGGAGTCCTTAGGATGACTCATCTCGTTTGGAGGGTGGTCTATCACACAAATGACTTGAAATCGATTTGTCTTCAATATTTTTTAAATCAAATTTATTGCATAAAATTTATCTACTACAATTTTCATCCCTATATAATTTATAAATTATTACATAATGGAGAATTTATCCTATAGACCTATACTCACCTCAGAGTGCTAATTCGAAAGGCGAGACAAAAATTAAAACCGCTACTGATTATTTTGGGATTAAAAAAATATGGAGGAAAAGTACTATATGAAATGAAAGAAAGAGAAAAAATGAAGAGGAGATTTTGAGGATAAAATAATACTATAGTAATGGGGAAGAAATCTGACTTGCACATGTTTGGTTTGACTAATTTTTTTTTTTTGGTAAATTAGAAATTTAACTAAAAAAATAAAAGCCATACGATTTTTAATTCTGTCAAAAAAAGTTTTGGTCATAATTTTTGGATTAAATTAAAAAATTATCTTCAGATAATTATTTGATTAAATTTTCAAATACTCTGAGCCACTTTTTGAGATTTCAACTTATAAACTTTAAATTTCAAGTATCAACTTCAAAATCACGATGAAAGGGAGTTGCTCGGATGGTAAACACCCCTTACTTCCAACCTGAAGGTTTTATTTTATCAAATTTATTTTTTATTGGCCGAAAAGTGTACACATTAGTATATCCTTCTTTAAATATGTTTGACAATTATTTTATTGGCTTCCAGCAAATACGTTCAATATGAAACTATAGGTTATAAGAGGTTGATAATTGTGTGACAAGATTGACAATAATTAGGTAGGTGGTTCTAGTACTTAATATTTCAATTCTTTTACTAATTTTAACACTCAAGTGATGCTTCATAATTTTGTATTAAGACTAAAAGTATACATTATCTTACTTGATTTTCGTAAACAATTACTTTCCTTGATCTTTTCTAAAAAATCTCTAAAAACAATCGATTTAGTTTGAGTCGTAACATTATTATTAATATTCAATTAAGTTTTTCCTTCATAGTGATTTGAGTTTTGACTGAATGGCTTAACAACATCAATAAAAATGAAAATTATATTAATTTAAGTTAAAAATAACTTCCTCTATAATTATGAAAATATGTGATTATTTATTCATTCGTTGTGAATACTCAACATAACTAATACATAAATTTATTCATAACTAATATTACATTACCAATATTCGTACAAATCTAGTTCAATTATTTATCAAACTCTACTGTTCTAAACTGAAAAGTCAACAAAATCATAGAATATGGGAGATTTTAAAACTTGCTACTAAAATCTGTCTCGTAGATTACCAACTTTAAAAAAAAAATTAATAAAAATTGCAACTTCAATGATTTGTATTCCAATTAGTAACATTTTACAAAGAATAGTTCATTTACATAGAAGAAAAATGTAGAGAGTTAATTAAGTAAATGCAATAAAAAAAGAAACGTCATCCAAAAAAGTTTTGAATCATTAAAAGAAGTCATTGAGTAATTAATCGATTACGGGTTGATTAATTAATCGATTCATTAAATAATCCAAATTGACCCGTTTAAGGGATGGGTCAGTTTGGATTACAACCTAAATTGACCCGTTAACAAAATGTCACTCACGTAACATATCAAAAGTTTTGCAAATTTATCGTGTGAACTTGACTTAAATAATATTACAGCATGTAGCATGTTAAGGAGGGGGCGTTTGATATTCGGTTTAGGTTTTTCAAATTTCAAATTCGATA